GCAATACTGGAATCGTGAAAAGTGATTGATCGTTTCATGAAGAGCCCTTTCCCTACCTTTACTAGTTGGAGCATGAAAGAGGGTGCGGAAGGGGGGGGGGGCGAAGACCTGACAACAGTCGTTAAACCTTTTTAACAAGCACAAACCCAAACTTTGGAAGTACTTACCAATCACTTAGGAAAAGAAAATCACTTAGGGAAGATTTATTAGAGTGTCGTGTTATCAAAGGCTTGGGGGAAGGGGGGGTTGCATCCTGAAACTGCATTTTGAAGTCCATCAAGTTATAGGGAGGGCGTGAGGTTATAAACTTTTGGTCGAGCAAAGTTAGGGAGGTAAAGTAACTAAAGTTTTGTGTGCCTCTGACCCACACCTTTGTTATTTTCCATGGCTGTTGGAAGGCAGGGGCGCGAGGAAGAATGTGTGTGACTGCTACGCGCTAGACGGTTATTTACGTTATTTTTTAATTCAAACTCTGTCTCTCTGTCTATCTCGTGTGTGTATGTGTGTGTGTGTGTGTGTGTGTGTGTGTGTGTGTGTGTGTGTGTGTGTGTGTGTGTGTGTGTGTGTGTGTGTGTGTGTGTGTGTTCATCTACCTACCTCTCTCTATCTATCTATCTATCTGTCTGTCTGTCTCTATCTATCTACTCCTGTGTGAGTGTCTTTATTCTTTTGCCAAAACTACACAAGTGCAGGCACGTACTCAGGGAAGCTTAGGGTGCTTAAGCCCCTGCCGTCTCCATCAAAATGTTCTTCTAGACAAAATTCGGGGAATGTATTACTCTCGAAATCGAGTGCGTCATATTTTCAACTGCCCTTATTCTCTGTACATAACTACAGAATTAAACATAGACGTCCCATAAATAAGAAGAAAAAGAAAGAAAACATCATAATAGGTATAATGAACAAGCTGATTACGAAATGAAATCGAGATGTAATTTTGATATCGGAATCCTTCTCCGTTTTCTATGAAGCGATCGTAGCTGCTTGACTGATGATGCAATTATCAAGCCGATTAATTTCCAATACACATTTCAGTCGACGGTTCGTTTCTATAGCGGCTAATTTGAGACTAGTGGAGGCACTAATAACAAATGATTTAAATTTTCAACAGGATTTTGCGGTTGATTAAAAGTGCAGCCTAGCGAAATGCTTTAGTTTACGGTTTAATCAGGACACAGGCAGAGAGAGCGGGCCTGGGAATATTAGTTTCTTTCTCTCTTTCATTTCTCTCATTTCTTTCTTTCTCTTTGTAAGGATTGTATTTTTTTCTCTTTTCCCTTTTCTTTCTTTTTTGTTCTCCGAGGAGGTCATCTATTTTTATTGTTCGCCGATGTCTTCGTAAAATACACCTGGTGTCTTTTCCTTTCTCTTTATATTTTTGTGTTCCGCTCTCTCTCTCTCTCTCTCTCTCTCTCTCTCTCTCTCTCTCTCTATCTATCTATCTATCTGTCTATCTATCTATCTATCTATCTATCTATCTATCTATCTATCTAGCTCTTTCTATCTATCTATCTATCTATATCTCTTCTTCTTCTTCTTCTTCTTCTTCTTCTTCTTCTTCTTCTTCATCTCCTTCTCTTATCCACCCTCTACCTATGTTCTCTATTTCTCTTTTTTCTCTCTCTTCCCCCTTTTTTCTTCTGTTTCCTCTCTACTTCTCTCCCTCTTCTCCAAAGGCCTGTCATTATCATTATCATTGTCACTATCATCATAATTATCATTATTGTTATTATTACCATTATTACTATTATCATTATTATTATCACTAATATTATTATTGTTATTATTATTATTATCATTATCATTATTGATAGTATTATTATTATCATTATTATTATCATTATTATTATTATCATTATCATTATTGTTATTGTTGTTGTTATTGTTATCATTATCGTCATTAGTTACCATCATTTTTATTATCACCATTTCGGTTGTTATTATTGTTGTTATTATTATTATTATTATTATTATTAATATTATTATTATTATTATTATTATTATTATTATTATTATTATTATTTTCATTGTTATATTTTTTCATTATTATTATTATTATTATTTTTTTTTTTTTTTTTTTTTTTTATTATTATTGTTGTTGTTTTGTTGTTGTTGTTGTTTTGTTGTTGTTGTTGTTGTTATTATTATTATAATTATCATCTAAATTATCATCATTATCATCATTAACATTTTCATCATTATTGTTATCATTATCATTATTATCATCATCATTATTATTAAAATTATCATTATTATTACTGTAAAGAATATCATTACGAATATTATAATTTCCTTCACTGGCAATAATTGATCTAGTGATAATGCAATTATGATAATGGTGATATGCATAAGAATCATCAACATATAGTCACTGGATATGATAGCAATAATTAAGAATAATCCACAATTATTATGATTTATTGTTGATAATGTTATTATATTGCCCTACTGAAAATTGCTCTCTGTTAGTTTATAATCTAGAAAATTGATATTCACGTTAATATTATATTTTTTTTATTATTTATTATTATTAAACTATCTGTCTGTCTGTCTGTATCCGTCTCTTTGTCTATCAGTCTATCTGTCTCTCTCTCATTCTCTCTTATTCTCGCTTTCTCTCTCTCTCTCTCTCTCTCTCTCTCTCTCTCTCTCTCTCTCTCTCTCTCTCTCTCTCTCTCTCTCTCTCTCTCTCCCTCTCTCTCTCTCTCTCTCTCTCTCTCTCTCTCTCTCTCTCTCTCTCTCTCTCTCTCTCTCCCTCTCTCTCTCTCTCTCTCTCTCTCTCTTTCTCTCTCTCTCTCTCCCTCCCTCTCTCTTTCTCTCTTTCTCTCTCTCTCATTCTCTCTCTCTCTCTCTCTCTCTCTCTCTCTCTCTCTCTCTCTCTCTCTCTCTCTCTCTCTCCCTCCCTCTCTCTTTCTCTCTCTCTCATTCTCTCTATCTCTCTCTCTCTCTCTCTCTCTCTCTCTCTCTCTCTCTCTCTCTCTCTCTCTCTCTCTCTCTCTCTCTCTCTCTCTCTCTCTCTCGCACTCTTTCTTTCCCCTTACATTTATATCATCCTAAATATATTTTCTTCCCTCACCCACACCTCACTCTGCATCATTTATTGCATCACTCCATCATTCCCCGTCTTCTCCATCTCTCTCTCTTCCTTCGTTCTATCTCCATGTCTTTGTTTTATGTCTTCATTCATTTTTATTCTCTCTCTCTCTCTCTCTCTCTCTCTTCCTCTCTTTCTACATATATATCCTCGTTTCTGTATCTTCACTTTGTTACGTTCCTCCGTTGTTTCTCCTTCGTCCCTTCTCTTTGTCTCCTTGTTATCTTCGTCTTCCTCTGTTTCACTATTTTCCCTTTCATGTGGGGGACACATCGAGCTGAAAAGAATGGCTTCAGAATAACTTCAGATTTTCTTTTATCTCGTGAGGATTAGCATCGACTCTCTTTAGAATATGTTATTCTTGTTATCTTGTTCTCTTGGTATTGTCATTCTTGTTATTGTTATTTCTGTTATCTTGTTCTCTTGGTATTGTTATTCTTGTTATTGTTATTCTTGTTATTGTTATTTTTGTTATCTTGTTCTCTTGGTATTGTTATTCTTGTTATTGTTATTTTTGTTATCTTGTTCTCTTGGTATTGTTATTCTTGTTATTGTTATTCTTGTTATCCTGTTCTCTTGGTATTGTTATTCTTGTAACTGTTCTCTTGTTAGTGTTCTCTTGTTATTGTTACTTTTTCATTGTTATTCTTGTTATTGTTATTGTCATTCTTGTTATTGTTCTCTTGTCATTGTACTTTTGTTATTGTTATTCTTATTATTATCTTGTTATTGTTATTCTTGTTATTGTTATCTTGTTATTGTTATTCTTGTTATTGTTATCTTATTATTGTTATCTTGTTTTCGTTATCTAGTTATTGTTATTCTTCTTATTGTTATCTTGTTATTGTTCTCTTGTTCTTGTTATTCGTCTTACTGTTATCTTGTTATTGTTGTTCTTCTTATCGTCATCTTGTTATTGTTATTCTTGTTATTCTTTAGTTCATATCACTCAACATAAGATATTCAGAACACCTCTTGTTTCGTGAAGATTTGCATAGAGCATCTTTTCAATTAAATCTTATCTGGATATCGACGTTTTTATGCTTGTGCTTCGTGTCTCCTTTATTCCTTGTGTTTTGTTTATTGTTTTTTTCTTGTGTCTGGTTTATTGTTTATTCCTTGTGTTTTGTTTATTGTTTTTTTTATTGTGTCTTGTTTATTGTTTTTTTCATTGTGTCTGGTTTATTGTTTTTTCTTGTGTCTGGTTTATTGTTTATTCCTTGTGTCTTGTTTATTGTGTTTTTATTGTGTCTGGTTTATTGTTTGTTCCTTGTGTCTGGTTTATCGTTTTTCTTGTATCTTGTTTATTGTTTTTTTCTTGTGTCTGGTTTATTGTTTATTCCTTGTGTTTTGTTTATTTTTTTCTTGTGTCTTGTTTATTGTTTTTTCTTGTGTTTGGTTTATTGTTTATTCCTTGTTTATTATTGTGTTTTTATTGTGTCTGGTTTATTGTTTATTCCTTGTGTCTGGTTTATTGTTTTTCTTGTATCTTGTTTATTGTTTTTTCTTGTGTCTGGTTTATTGTTTATTCCTTGCGTTTTGTTTATTGTTTATTCCTTGTGTCTTGTTTATTGCTTTTTCTTGTGTCTGGTTTATTGTTTATTCCTTGTGTCTTGTTTGTTGTTTATTCCTTGTGTCTTGTTTATTGTTTTATTGTGTCTTGCTTATCGCTTATTCCTTGTGTCTTGTTTATCGCTTATTCCTTGTGTCTTGTTTATCGTTTATTCCTTTTGTCTAGTTTATTGTTTATTCCTTAATCCTTGTTATTCCTAGTTTATTATAAAAAAAATCATAAAAAAAGAAAAAAAAATACAGAGCATGATAAGGTAGAATACTGGAAATTTTCATTAAAAAAAAAAAAAAAAAAAAAAAAAAAAAACAGAGAATGATAAATCAGAATACGGGAAATGTTTTAAAACAATTTAATGTGATTCGACATACATAAACACAAAAACTTCTGTATCACGCACTACAGCGATAAATATTTTTTTTTAAATGGCATACGTTGTCACTTCTTACACATTAATACTATATATTATGATTTCTCTTTCAATAACAAAATAGTTATAAATTTAATAAACAAAAATGACATACATTATTATTACTTACACAAATATACTATCATACAATTGGCATCTATTATCTTTTCTTCTTTAATAACAAAAAAATTATAAATATTACACAATATCGTGATATCTTAGGCCTATACCAGTATATATTTCAGCACCCATTTTCTATAACAATAACAACCTAAGAAAATAAAAAAAAAAAGAAAAAATGAGAAACACCTATAACAATAACAACCTAAGAAAATTATTGAAAAACACGCAATTATCTGTCTGCATTGAGAGAGTAGGTTATTATTTGAATGTTATCACTTGAGATAACGTTATCACTGCATTTGACTTCCCAGTATGTGTAATCACGGAAATAGGATTATACGCGGAAAATTACTGTGCGAGTTTATGATGAAACTTTATCTCAAAGCACAATTAGATAAAATGGCGAAAAAATATATATACACAAAGATTATCGCTACTAGAATACATACACAACTGGTACCATTACGTCATTGATAAGGAGTTAGTATAGTACTGAATAATGCGATAACTTTACGCCAAGAGTATAATACATGTAATAATTCCTCACTGTATGTTAAGAATACTTTATACACCGCATTGATCGTAATACAAAAGGAAAGGTATGAATGAGAACGAAAATCTTCATAATGCAAAGTATTTAACCTGGTTTCGATTACATCTTCGTCAGAAATACATGTATTTCTGGCGAAGATAAAGTTGAAACCGGTTGAATAGATCTCTTGTATTGTGAAGATATTCATTCTCATTCATACCTTGTTTTATATTTATCAACATGAATCCGGTTTATCGAAAAGGAATTACCACAGACAATTCAAATTCCTGCGACAGTTTCTTGGTAATTTACATAATACTGTATACACCGCACTGTTTATAATGCATAAAGTTTGGCATTCACTATCGACCAGGAATTACCACAGTACAATTCAAATTCCTTCAATAGCTTCTTCGTAACTAGGAAGACCCTGGTCGTCTCTAAGGTCGTCAAGTGTACGAGGAACCACTCCACATTTCCAGACAGCTTCCTCGTTGCAATATGAATACATACGCGACCTACGATGACACCTGCAGTGCGTGCTTGGAGCGGCTCCTTCTCCTCCTCTCGTAAACGTGTGCACTCCAGGACCCTGCAATGGAGATTGTATCCTGTTCACTCCAGAAAGCTGATCAGTCGTAGTCGTCCAAATATCCTTCGGTTCTGCAATGTGTTCTTCGGAGGACGGCGTTCCAGCTTCTCTATCTTGCTCTGATGGTATGTGTTTCTGGTATTCTCGTCCCCAGGTAAGGCGATACGTAGGGGGAAGGTCGTCGTGTGTAGAAGGAACAGGCATACTTGTGGGGGGGGAGGGGGCATATGCCAGATAGATCACGGTGATGACTGGGCACACGGTTAAGGCAACAGAGCCTGGTATTTCGAAAGAAATAATGATAATGATATTAGTAGCAATACCAATAGTAAGTGTAAATGGTAGTAATAATGTTGATAATACTGATAATAATAATGATGATGGTAAAAATAAAAATAATAATAAAGATAATAATAATAATAATAATAACAATAATAATGATGATGGTAAAAATAAAAATAATAATAAAGATAATAATAATAATAATAATAACAATAATAATGATGATGGTAAAAATAAAAATAATAATAAAGATAATAATAATAATAATAATAATAACAATAATAATGATGATGGTAAAAATAAAAATAATAATAAAGATAATAATAATAATAATAATAATAATAATAATAATAATAACAATAATAATGATGATGGTAAAAATAAAAATAATAATAAAGATAATAATAATAATAATAATAACAATAATAATGATGATGGTAAAAATAAAAATAATAATAAAGATAATAATAATAATAAGAGTAATAATAATAGTAGTAACAATAATAACAATAGTAATGATAATGATAACAGTAGAAATAATAATAAAGATAATAATAATAATAATAATGATAATAATAATAATAATAACAATAATAATGATGATGGTAAAAATAAAAATAATAATAAAGATAATAATAATAATAATAATAACAATAATAATGATGATGATAAAGGAGAATGATAAAAACAATAATAAAAAATCATAAAGCGAAGCAAACAGGCTGCCATACAATTATGTATTTTGTTGTTGCTGTTGTTGTTCTTTATAGCTAAAAAAATGTGCTGTGACCACTACATTTTTTTATACAGAATTCTTATACTAAACTACTAAAACTTTTTTACTCACCTGCCATAATTGTGACGATGACCAGCGTTTCGGAAGGACCATTTTTCTTGA